AACGTAGCGACATGTCAAGGAATATGAAAAAGCTAAAACGTTGAATTTAAATTGTAATGTCATCGCAGTACTGTCTAATTTTGCTTGTTTCGCTGTCAGTCGAACAAACGAAGACTAAAGCGTGAATGACGCTCTGTGTACGATTTTAGCGCCCTATAAGTTCGGACACTTTTTAGCGCGGACCCGACGTCCATATAATTATAAGTCAATGTGTAAACCGGCTAAAATGAAAATCTAGAACTATGTTTTTAATAATAAGTTATCTTACTTTGAACAAACAAATGACAACAGCCTTTGATACATGCTCGATTTTTGCAATTTTATTTATAGAATTTACGAGCATAAGACGAAACAATTTTATCTTCCAATTATCAGCGAACAGTCACGAAGCGTAGGAATTTTTCGGCAAAACTATTTTCAAACAAAACAAAAAATACTTCTGCTTTTATGATGGAATTCTCTGTGCAAAAGGCTAAATATCTCAAATAGCACAAAATCATCCGAACCAATAGTAAAAGGTCATCTTGCGATTTAAAATGTCAAAAAAATTATCATTATAATAATATAATAACGCACACACTCAACATAGCCCCGCACTAGGGAAACCCTGTGTCGCGGGTGCCATGGACACACACATAGACAACCACAAATTACACCCAAACTCACGAGAGAAATAAATGTAAGCCATACAAACATTTCTCCCGGCCCGGGAATCGAACCTGGGACCTCTGCATGGCAGTCCGGCATGGTAACCGTTCGGCCATGGAGGCAGTTAAATGAGGCAGCATTATTGATACAAAGATCGAACAGACGCAAAGTTCCTTCGAGCTGACTAGACTCTAACCAGCGTCTGTTGCCTAACCGTGGCTATAGCTCTTATCAACTGAGATGCAGGCTGAGTCAGCAGACGTAAGACGTTTTTATTGTACCTACAACGAAAATCCTAATTTGTTATAGTTATTAATACAAAGATATAATACTAAGGAAATTATTTCTATTCGGCTGGGTTCGAACCAGCGCCTTCAGCATACCGTGTCGAACGAACTAGCGGACCTTACCAATTTTTCTACGTGCTTGTTGCAGATCTTTGTTTTTTGTTTTTAAGGACTTTATTGCCATAGCGCCATCTGTAAGAAATATATCACTTCCGGTACCTTTACAGCTACCGGCAGCTGACTATAGATGTCGCTATAATAATTGTAGTTTTTAAGTTTATTAACTATCACTATTCTCTCTATGTGATTCTTGCAGACCTTTTTGTCAGGTTTGAACATAGACTTACAATTATATGGACGTCGGGTCCGCGCTAAAAAGTGTCCGAACTTATAGGGCGTTAAAATCGTATACAGAGCGTCATTCACGCTCTAGTCTTCGTTTGGTCGCCTGACAGCGAAGCAAGCAAAATTAGACAGTACTGCGATGACATCACAATTTAAATTCAACGTTTTAGCTTTATCATATTCATTGACATGTCACTACGTTTAAATAGGTTGACTTGGGACATTTTTTTCGTGGTTTTTGTATTAGACCCGTCGTCCATTTATTTGTAAGTCAATGGGTTTGAATGACATTTTTGCCATAGCGCCATCTGTGAGAAACTTATGAAAGTTTTTTCTTGGCCAGGTACCTTTACAGCTACCTGAGACTGACTTGTAATATTCATTTTATTGAATTCATTTATGATATTCATTTATTTCTTCTGAAAATCCACTAGTTCATTATTATATTTTTGTATAAATAATAATAACAAACTTGTGGAGCATTGTCAAAAAAAAAACTTGGATATCATATTAGTAAAAACATCATGATGTTCTATGAAATAAATATGACAAAAAATCATTCTAACCAATAGCAAAAGACTAGCCTGAAATCCTGAATAGCAATATGTCGTTCCAACGAATAGCAAAACGCCAACCTAAGATCCTAAATACCATAAATTGCATCCCATACATTAACGACTAGATAAATTGATACTAGGACGTTGCTGTTTCAGACTTGCAATGCATTATTGCATTCCAAATTTCGCAACGGTCCGATTTCACACCTATGCCAGCGAATACCTAAACGGTTGAATAATGCAGCTTACATTGAATTGTTTTGTTACAATACGATTTTGGGCAAAACATAATGGCGTCCCGGTGACATTTTGTTAAGTTCCAACTTCGGAACTCCTCGGGTCTTACGGAATTCGACGATTGCATTAACCTATTTCATTTTCATAATTGACGTTTATAGTTTTGCCGCACAGGTGCGATTTTAATTATGCTGAGAATTGAAACTGTTCATTGCATTTTATATGTACAAGCTGTAGAGGTAAAAAAAGACTCTAGAGTGCTTACTAATATTACTATATTATTAATATTGACTTTGTTTTACTTTATACATGACGTGTCTGAAGTTCGGTTATGTCCTGCAGTGAAAATTTTTATTTTCAAAAGGGTATGTAAACCTATATTACAAACATGACGCTTATTTTTTTGTTATACTAAGTGACGGGACAAATAAGTCGTGCGCCTGGTGGTAAGCGACACGCCTGTCTGTTGCAGGGCCACTCAGAGCTTTAAATCGCAAAGTTCTGAGGCGCACTACCACTGCGCCCGTCACCTTGAGACATAAGTTGAAAAGTCCCATGTGCCTATAATTTCACCAGCACCCTTAGCCTTCAAAACCGGAACACAGTAATGCTGACATTACTACTTGGCGGTACTAATAGATAAGGCGATTGGGGCAATGCCAATCTTGTCAAATTTAACGCTACGAAAACGCAGGCATGTCTATTCTCCACTAAGCGGAGTTCTATTGACCTGACTTCGACATTTTGTGATATATCCATACCGATAGCCGACTATCTCCAACTTGAAATGGACGTGTCGTCCAATTTGAACTTTGGCAGATGCATAGAAACAATGCCAAACATGCAGCCAGGACGCTTGACATCCTTTCCAAGGTGAGGCATTAATTCACACTGGGACAGTCGCTTCAGTATGGAGTACTGCAGCAACCTTTGGAACGGCTCTGCTACATACCAACAGGCCACCTTGGATTCAATTGCAAAGCATGTCAAGAGGTTTATAGGTGACTCGGAATTAGTAGATGCGAAGCTGCAGTCTTGAACGCCGTCGTAAAGTTGCCTGCTTAACGATATACTACAGGATATATCACGGAGAGTGTGCAATGGAATTGCATGAGTTAATTCCGCTTTCCCTTTTCCATCATCCGGAGATTAGACTTAGGATGGGGTTTTCACCCCTATGTTGTGGACATTCCCAAGTTTCGCAAACTGTTTCGCTACGACATTTTTAAAGCGTGCGGCTAGTGAGTGGATTTCCCTGCCTGCGGACTTATTCCCCGAAAACTAAAACTTGGACCTTTTCACATCGAGAGTGAACAGGCATTATAGATGTGCAAGCAACATCTTCGATCTCATTAATCACTTTCCATCAGGTGAGATAGAGATCAAATGCGCATTTTTTTTTTGTATAATAATCTCAGTACAGAGCACTAAAAAAACCGACCTCAAAAGTACACGAAATTACGTCTATTTGCTAAGTTTTATTGAAATATCCCCTCGTTCGTTACTATACAGGACTTGACACTGGAGATAATAAAAATCGGTTCTCATATGGTTCTCACTATTCAAAGTATATTGAGAGAAAAACGTCTTTAATTGGAGAAATAGCAAAATCAACCATTAAAATAATTGCTCCTAAATTAAAGTTAGGCGCTATTTATAAAAATGAATCTTCATACGTGAACAGCCACCCTTAGAAGTGGATAATTTTCTTCAAAATGAAATGGGACCACCATGGAAATACCCCCTTTCCAACAAAAAAAGAATCATGAAAATCGGTTCACAAATACCGGAGTTATCGCGTAACATACATACAAAAAAAGAACGTACAGTCGAATTGTTTGAAGTCGGTTAAAAAAGAAAATTTGAGGGCCACACGCACTGAGATATAAGTTGAGAAGTCCCATTTGTCTTTCATTTCACCAGCACCCTTACCCTCACATCAATAAGAAATAGGTAAGGTGGCAGTATTTCCGTAGACGAACTCTTACACAAGGAGCTCTACTGCTACTAAAAATTTTTAGTAGCTAAAAATTGACACTGGTAGTCATAGTTCGTATGTACGAGCTGTAAGACGCTGTACGGAATGGAACCGATAATATCACGATTTCACTATTAGAAAAGGGGGTGATCGAGGAGCTATATACGTTTCCCCAGTGGCGCCAACAGTACGTGGAGTTCTACGTACTTGAGTCCGCCATTTTCGCTTTTTACGTTATGCTCAATATAAAATATCTCGCGCAAAACCTCGAAAATCATAGAAAAACGATAATCACCCTTGTAATATTAGCCATGGTTGTGTTTCATAATCATCGTTAAGTTTATTTTATTGAATTTTAATAAATTTTCAATTTTCTGTTTATCGTAATAATTTTTTGTTACAAGAAACGAAAGTAAACATTATACCGCTGCAATAGAAGTTTTTTTTTTTGAGAACTAAGGCTAGAACTCTACCCAATATTCAAGTCAGGACTTGAGTATTGCAGTGAGCACTGAAAATCATACTCAAGTCCTTGCCATTAGAGTCGTATTTCCAGTGCTTGAAATCATACTCAAGTTGGCTCAAATCCTGACTTGAGCATTGAGTAGAGTTCTGGAATACGACCCTAAGATTCGTCGTCATTCACGTATTGATCGCAGCACACGGATTGAAATTTCAATATAAAATAAAAACATGGCAACTTGCAATAATAGGTATTGAACCTTCAACGATATGTGAACAAAGTAAAATTTAAATTATATTAACAGTCCAAAATTAGTTATTACAAACTACGGCTAATTCTTATCAAGATTTTATGACGTTTTAAATTATGAATGTGTGAGTTTTTGCGACAGCGGTTCTTATAGTAATCGAGGCTTAAGGCTTATTGTTTGTTTGTTTCCGTGGTGGAAAATGAGATTTAGAAGAAAGATAAAGGAGAATACTCACTGGCATTGAGTGGCAAGGCGGGCGCGCGCGCGTGGTACGCGGCGCCGCCATAGTGGCGCGGGTAGGTCGCCAGCGTGCCGGCGCGGGGCGCGCGGGCGCTCACCGCATCGCGATCACGGCTGCTGCCCCCCACCACGACCACGCGGTACACGTAGGCCAAGTTGTTGGCCTCACAACACCCTGGAACAAATAGATAAATTTGCCTTGAACAATGTATAACTGTAAATAAAACATTAGCAGGTTGGGATAGGTGTTAATTCTGTAAGTGAAATGATGTTCGGAAAGAAAACATTTACAAATGTGGGTCATGAGAAAAAAAACATAAATGTAATAAAAATTACAGACATAAGGAAAGCCTGGATTAATATGTTACTAAATATTTTGGATTTAAATAATTTGAGTTTCTTCAATTACTTATGTACATAAATAATGATATTTGGAATAAAAAAAGGTGCTTTTACTTTCCACATTATAGATTTAGACCAAATTGTGCAGAAAATTTGCAATAATCAATATTTTCAATAATATGTGATATTCGTAATAAAATTACAGGTGCGTAAGATTAGAAGGTTTAAATTCTGCTAATTTAAGTTAGCCCCAGTCACATCAAAAGAAAGATCATTGAGCCAGTATAAAGCGTTGTTCCGACCAACAGTTTTAATTTAGAAAACTTAAAAAACATGTAATTGTGTACTGTAGCAAACGGTAATGTAAATGAGATTGAAGCAGACTAATATTGTAATTTTTGTAATTTTACTATTTACTATTATTATTTTAATATTTTACTATTTTAATAATCTATTTGTGAACAGTTTTTTTATCCCCATATTTTTACCACTTTTTTGCCCATACTAGATGTATATAATTCTATATAGAATTATTATATTATAGATATATATAGAATTTCCAGTTAATTTAAATATAACCAACCGTATTTAGTGGCTGGGCAAACTGAGATGAGGACACCAATCAATTGCGCGTACTCCCGTATGATACATTGGGGTCACCTCATTATTTTTTAAAGTAAGTGGTAATGTTTTTGACGTTTTTCGAAAGGTAAACTTATACTTAAATTTCATGAATCAAAATCGAATCTTAAGAAATTTACAAACTTGACATGGTTGTAACACAGACTTGCCGTAATTAATGATGAAACCTAAACATTGCAATAACTTAATGGTTGCATTGACATTATTGATGCATCGTCATAATCAGCTGCTATACAACGAACTTAAATCCTTGTTGTCTCAAATGTGTTACAACTTCTTTCATGACTTTGGTACACACTTTCGATGCTGTGGACAAGCCGTATGTCAGAGCAGTAAATTCATGGATTTCAATTTCATTAGAACCACAAGGTAAATACTGAAATCTGTGGTGCTTTCGGTCTGCATCGCAGATAGATGTCAATGAATACACCTCTTTCAATGTGAGGTATCAATTTTGAGGCATTTTGGTAGTCCTCCATTCTAAAATGAGTTTTTGTTACAAATTTGTTAAAGAACGTTTTGTTCAATATGAAACGACTACTACCGTTGCGTTTTGGGGTTAAAAAAGTGTTAGAAATGTATTGACGTTTTCTAGGACAGCACTTTGTCATTGCTCCCAAGTCAATTAAGTTTTTAATTGTGATATGCAATTTTTTCTATTGTCGTCTGGCGATAAACTAATGCCGGGTATTACAGACTGGTGTTGGCACCTGTTTACGTAATGGTATTGCTGGCGAAGCTGCATATTTTATTTTGCAGGTGGCTGTCGCCTAAAACCATTAACGATCTTCTTTAGAATTGTATTAGATAGGTAATTGAGTTTTAAGTACGGCGTGTTTCGTTAACACTTATTAATTCAACGTATGTGGGATTTAATTTCTTATCGCAGTTAACTCATGGTTAACCCCAAATTAATTTTATTAAATATACTTTTCTTAGAATAATATAATTATTAAAATCGGCTCGCAATCGATTTCGTTATCGCGGTTAACTCGCAGTTAACCCCGACGTAATTTTATTTAAAAAAATATTTACTTATTACCACGTAGGAACTAATATTGTTCAAATAGAAATCGACTCGCAGTCGATTTCGTTATCGTGGTTAACTCGCAGTTAACCTCGACGTAATTTTATTAAAAAAATACTTGACTTATTAGCACGTAGGTACTAATGTTGTTCGAATCAAAATCGACTCGCAGTCGATTTCGTTAGCGTGGCTAACTCGCAGTTAACCCCGACGTAATTTTGTTTTTAAAATACACTTTACTAATTAGCACGTAAATACTAATACTATTTAAATTTTAATCGACTCGCAGTCGCTTTCGTTATCGTGGTTAGCTGGCAGTTAACCCCGACGTAAATTTATTAAAAAAATACTTTACTTATTATTAATATTAGCACGTTTTATCTAATATTGTTCAAATTAAAATCGATTCGCAATCGATTTTGCTATCGTGATTAACTCGCAGTTTACCCCGACGTAATTTTTTTTTTTTTTTTAATCTTTACTTATTGTATAATATTAGCACGTAGGAACTAATATTGTTCAAATTAAAATCGATACACAGTCGATTTCGTTATCGTGGTTAACTCGCAGTTAACCCTGACGTTATTTTATTTAAAAAATTCTTTGCTCATTAGCATGTAAGACCTAATATTGTTCAAATTAAAATCGATTCGCAGTCGATTTCATCATAGTGGTTAACTCGCAGTATACTACGACGCAGTGTAATTTAAAAAATATACGTTATTTATTAGCACGTAGGTACTAATACAGTTCAAATTAAAATCAACTCGCAGTCGATTTCATTGTCTTGTTTAACTCGCGGTTAATTCCGAGGCAGTTTTGTTATAAATCATGTAAAATGCGCGTATTAATATATCTGTTCGGATTTTCATCCACACATGTTTGATTTAGTTATCGGGGATAACTCGCAGTTAACCCGATGTTTTATTAAATGTAGATTTTATTCACATTTGCGATGTATGAAAGCGAACATTTACTATAATTGCGGAAGTAGCAAGTAGTTCTATGTGATAAAAATGAATATTTTCATTTTTTTATTTTCATTATTTATGAGCATAAGAAAAAATCTTACCTTGATCAATGTCCGACTCGTCCAATGATATTATGATCTTATAACGCCGAAAACGTTTGGCATCTGTATTTTCCAAGTATTACAGTATACTTTTATAATACTCGATTTTTTCTAAGTGCTTGTTGCCACGCACGAAAAAGTAGTGAGGATAGAAAATGGCGGTTCATGCCTGGTAGGGAGTGTCAACGTCAAAACTTTTTTTTTCTCTAAAAACCGTGCGGTGTTGCCTAGCAAGTTAAGGAAACTACATAGTTAAATATTATATCGAGAATGAAGCGACGAAATATAATTTATATTATGCATGAATATGTACACTAACTAGGAAAAAGTCTAGCACTATTTTTTTTAGTATGTAAAGCATCAGATGTGAATTCGGTAGACCTCGCTCAAATAAATTCGGTCAAATCGTGCGCACGTCCGCGCCCCATGCAACCAATCACGTCGCGGCAACAAAACACCGCCATCTAATATGCATTTTATTGTCGACTGTACAGCGATACAGGCGCGACGAAAACTTGCGCCACAAATTGGAAGAGACCGATGGCAAAAAAAGGTAATAGAAATTTAAAACACGTAGAGGAAAAAAAAATTTAGATTTTAAGAGTGAAACGTCATGGGTCAACGTATTGTTTAATCTTTTTAAACCGAGATGATAGCAGGAAAGTAAGGCTGCAAAGACGAAGAAAAGTAATTCGGTAAAAAAAAAAATACTATAAGAAAATGAAAGAGAGAGTTGCGGAAACAAGCCCTTGGTGTAGCAAATACCATGAACGATTAACGGAGAAAGTTATGAAGTGTTTTTAATATTATACAGTAAAGTTATAGTCAAAGGTAAGTAGAATTATAAAACTAATGACGCATATAATTAAAGAAAGTTATTAAAAAAGTATATTAAGCAATAAAAACTATTTCCAACATATTTTTTTGCAAACCATTCCGTACTCAGTCGCGTAGCGTCGTAGTCACAAGTCGTAGACGCGTAGAGGCCTACGCGTGCAACTTTGATGAGGCCGTAGCGACCACATGCTACGCTTATTTGTTCTCACAACTTTGCCAAGAGAGAGATAGACGATTGATGATGTTATAAAGTTTCGTAATAACTCTATTTGCTAGAAAGAGACAGATATGTAATGAATTGAAGCTAAATTTATTCCTCACAAGGTATATCAAAAATCGTCATGTTGCGAAATTTTTATTGGATTGAATATACTCGTATTAACCCGTTCGTAGCCAATACCGCATTCCAAAATATGACTATTTTTCTTTGTGCCGTAGAGTTTATATTAATTGAATGTAATAATCTTGTATAAAAGAAGGTACGGCTATGATAGTAATAAGATGATTCCCGTTGCCTCTTGTCGCATTAATCATCATCAACATCAACACGTTTTCCGAGGGTTCTGAACCTTCATCAACACGCAGGCTTCATCATGATATTTTCCTTCAGCGAAAAGCTCATGGTAAACTTCAAATTAAATATTGCACATTAATCCCGAAAAACTCAGAGGTGCGAACCCGGACTCAAACTCGCGGCCTCTGCTGCAAAACATACGTTTTGCAGAAAAAATCCTTAATATTTCTATTAGAGAGTTCAAGGTCACTGAGATGTATTTGTATCACCTTATATAAACACGTCCGTGTCCACCGTACTGTTTAATGTAACATCCTCAAATGTGTAATTTTTTTATAATATCAAGTGACGGAACGGACAAGTCGTGCGCCTGATTGTAAGCTACACGCCTGTCCGTAACAATTACAGTGCCACTCAGAGCTTTAAATAGCAAGGGGCACTACCGCGGCGCCCGTCACCCTGAGACTTAAGTTGACAAGTTCTATATGTCTGTAATTTCACTAGCATTGTGCAGTATTGCAGCAGTGTGCGTGTAAATTATTAAATTTTGTCAGTACGTTATTGATATGTCTCTTTGGGGAAGCCGTAATCTTAGTGTCACCGCCCCGACTGGTCTTAATCATTTACTGTGTCCAGCGGTACCGAGAATACGTGGCTCGGTTTCATTACTCCACAGGCACACTAAGGGTCGTATTC